GCCGATATTATCCGACCAACTGAGTTTTGAAGAAACTGAAAACTACTGACCCGACCCACTTATATACGGGTCGGTTATAATTACTTGTTCAACAACAAAGTTATCGGTTGATAAAAGCGGGTCGGTTTGGCCGATAAAACCGACTTATGCCCAGCCCAACCTGTATGTATGTAATTACTGTAGTTTTATGTATGTATTGTTGAAATAAAATTTTAGATGGGGTGGGAAAGTCATTGAATATTAATTCAAGGAGTAAATTGCAAATAAGAACTTCCTAGGGATATGCGTATATAAAACTAATTTGTGAATAGAAAAAGCAAATTCCATATATTCTGCAAGATTTTAAATGTTTGTACCATCCCACCAAACGTTGTTTCACCTGTAATAAATTGCTTTGAAATATGTAAACCACATTACCTTAATTATGTGTAATTAGCCTAAGTAAAATGAGCTTAACATATTAAATATTGACAACGAGATTCCAATCTTAGTTCACAAACTAGGTCACCCCTTGCAGGGATTATTTAGTTTGTTCTGAACCATGTTTTGCAAATTTCACCGATTATGTTATATCATGCACGTGTATAATTATTAATTCGTACATATTTTACATCGGTTTGTGTATATATATATATATATACAGGGGCAGATCCAAGGTATATCCCTATTTTTTCAACTTCGCTTTATTACTTCATTAATTTGTCATAAATGTTGGTGTAATTTTTAACTAATATTTTGCTACTATTTCACAAATATAATACAATGATATATGATTTAGTTATATTTTTATGTTAATTACACTATTTAAATAAATATGTTATATACTACGATTTTTCAAAAGAAAAGATGCTAATTATTAGTATATTTCAAAATAAACGTCAATAGAGAAATTAAATTAATTTTAGTTTTAACTACCATGAATAAAATAAAAGTGAATTAACGAAAATAAATTTAGAAATTTAAAAACAAACGAACTATCTACATGTAAACACCTAACAATTAATATATGCATTATACATTTAATGTTTCTTGTAGATGTTATATCTAAATGAAGTTTGATTGATATCATCTCACTCCATATTTACATACCATCATCACACATAATTATAATTTATATTAGAAAATTAACAATGGTAATTTGCTTCTAGAAGGTTTTTATTTAATAATTAAAAATAATTGAAAGAAAGGGGGTAATTATTGTTTAAACTTAGTGTAGTGTTAGGTGACCCACCTCCGAGTGTCTTCCTTAATCTCAATTAGTGGGGGTTAATTATTGTTTTTCTTACGTTGTTATGTTCTTGTACTATATATATATTATGTGTTTTATTTTGTCTATCTTGTACTTATGCAACTTTTCATAGATTCCTACTCACATTTCACTTCTAATTCTTATATTAGCATAAAGTTACTATAGTTACAAATCCAATTACTATATTGAATTATTGATATATAGTAGTGTTATAAAAATCGGCCGAGACGGCCTATTAAATAATCGATCTCTAAAGTGGAGGCGGTCCCACACTTTTAGAAAAAATCGGGTTTTGATCTGTGAGGAGGTTTTAGGCTGTCTGAGACGGTTCGAGGCGGTCAAACCTTATAGGCGGGTCAAACTTAGGTGGCAAAAATCAGTAAAAAATCGTTTTTTTTTTCTTTTGTTTTTTTAAAAACTTTTTTACTTTTTTAATTCAAAATAAAAGTTGGGACTTTAATAAAAAAGATCTGAGTTTATGCTCTATTTTGTTTATATTAACTGTTATTGTAAAAGAACCTAATGATATATGCTTGGAATGTTCAAGAATAAATTTAAATTAAAAAAAATGCCTTTTATTTATATTTGATAAGGATTTTTATTGTATAATGATCTTATTGTTATTGAACTTTTATTATGTTATTAGGATATATAGAAATATAACTATGTTTAAATATCTTTTTACATATGTTTTGAGTATTTATAAATAATATCTAGAAATATATTTATTTCCTATTTATCGACGATTAATCACCGCCACACCGATTAATCGTGAGTCGGTTCCTAACCGCCTCCGAACCGACTTCCGCTTTTTACAACTTTGATATATAGTACATCATCAAACCAAAAAAACAATACGAATTGCACGATTTGCAACACCATGCATTCAAAGTATGGATTTGCCGTCGTCGTATTCGGAAGAAGAGATTAAGCATGCAATTCGTCTATCAGAAAATAATGTTGAATCATCGACAAGTTCCCTTACATTTTCAATTTGATGGAAACAAAATAAATAGTAATGTTCCATCTAGTGATGCAAGTGGTGTTTGCAAAGGCAGCCATATATTTGAAATCGCAAAATT